TGGTGGAGCCTCCATGGATCGGACTTGTTTCTACTGCAAGATGGTGGAGCCTCCATGGATCGGACTTGTTTCTACTGCAAGATGGTGGAGCCTCCATGGATCGGACTTGTTTCTCAAGCACATCCTACAGATACTCGATCGAGTTTTGTGGAATTTGGAAGCCAAGTCAACAGCACCGATCAGAGATATTTTTCTCTCCATTATAAAGGTACGTCATCATATTTTCCTTCTTGCATGGGCAGCCTTCATAGGGCCATCTTCACTGGAGGGGCATGCATTAGGACAATTCCCCTCATTCTCACACATGGACAGACACCCCATACAGCAATGCATCACATTTTACCCACTGGAGGGGCACCTATTTGGGCACTTCATCCTGTTTTCCCATGGTTTTGCAGTGCCCTTTACTGCAGTGTTTCTCAAACCAGTCCTTGGGCACCCTAGATGACACTAAATCGTCTTTTTGTATTTTCTTTTCATGTGAATGGCAGCCGATAGCAGCATTTTTTCCTCCCTAGTGGGCATTTTAACAACGTTTTGTTCGACCCTGGAGGCACTGCCCCCCGGGTCCAGCAGTGGATAAACAGTAATGCATCATAGAGGTTATTATGGTTAGGGTGCTATAAAGAAACATTTAGAGCATGCAGTTATACCTGGGTGTTCACATTCTTTTATATATAACCTCACATATTTGTTGTAAAAGGTACCACACTCTGCAGTTGAAGCTGAAAGCCACAGGAAGTGCCACCGCATGTGTGGATCAGCCACAGAGGCTGCTCAGGGGTCAGCTGCAGACACCATGCCTGTTACTGGGCCCACGGGGGTCTAAGTGATCGTAAGAAGTTTCTGCAAGGGGGGGCTGAGGTGAAGCTTGCTGCTGAGTCCTGGCTCTGCTAACACCTACAGGGAAACCACAAGCCCACGCAGAAACACCTCTCACACTCATACTTCCTGTATAAAACTTTAAAGTCAGGCACTGCAATGGCCTCGTTTACAGTCATTATTAAATTAAAATTGTGTTAGCTGGTCAAGTGGGACAACTTCTTTTAACCTTCATCTTAGTTAGATGGGTCACCTTGTTTCACTGCAGCTTTCAAAACACAGATATAATTTTTGACAGTAAATTAATAATAGTTATGTGGAAATTCACTGCCGAAAACTTTAAAACATGAGTATGGCACAATGAACCTTAAGTATAAAACACATTATGAGAACAGCAAAAAAGGAAATGCAAAAAGCACAAGAAAGCATAACAAATAGAAAACACGAATATTTTTCTTTTTTTTGTGCTTTCTTAATGTGCTTTGTACTTCAGGGGCACCACAGTACAGCTGTGACTTCCTGTTCTGAAAGTGTAATTTTTAAGAAATTCTGTTCAGTCACCCTCTTTTGAAAGATATACACTATATTGCCAAAAGCACTGGGACACCCCTCCAAATCATTGAATTCAGATGTCCCAATATAGTGTATTATCTCTGCATGTTGCTCAGCTTCC